CTCACGGGGGGGAAACTGAGGCAGGGGAGGCTGCTCAGATCCACGCCCCCCCCCCAGCTGAAGGAACGGTGACCTTCATCTTCATCAGCCTCCGGGGGAGGGGGGGGAGCTGGTCCCTGTCCCCTCTGCTCCGGCAGGAGCCGTGCAAGGGCTGTGCAAGAGCCGTGCAAGAGCTGTGCAAGGGCTGTGTGAGAGTCAGGGAAGAGCCGTGCATCAGCTGTGCAAGAGCTGTGCAAGAGCCGTGCAAGGGCTGTGCAAGGACTGAGTGAGAGCCGTGCAAGGGCTGCGCAGGTGCTGTGCAGGAGCCGTGCAAGGGCTGTGCAAGGGCTGTGTAAGAGCCATGTGAGGGTTGTGTGAGGGCTGTGTAAGAGTCGTGTGAGAGCTGTGCAAGATGTGTGCAAGAGCCGTATGAGAGCTGTGCAAGAGCCGTGCAAGAGCTGTGCAAGGGCTGTGTGAGAGCCGTGCAAGGGCTGTGCAGGAGCTGTGCAAGGACTGTGTAAGAGTCATACGAGGGTTGTGTGAGAGCTGTGTAAGAGTCATGCAAGAGCTGTGCAAGATGTGTGCAAGAGCCGTATGAGAGCTGTGCAAGAGCCGTGCAAGAGCTGTGCAAGGGCTGTGCAAAAGCCGTGCAAGGGCTGTGTGAGAGCCGTGCAAGAGCCGTGCAAGGGCTGTGTGAGAGCCGTGCAATAGCCGTGCAACAGCCGTGCAACAGCCGCGCAAGAGCCGTGTAGAGCTCGCCATAGGAAGGTCCCGCCCACCCGTGCCTCAGTTTCCCCTCCCCGCCGTCCCGGGGGGGGAACAGTCCCCGAGGCGCCCCCCCGGGCCGTGTCCCCCCGGTCCCCCCGGTGCCTGGAGCGGCTCCACGTGGGGCGGGGAACACCGCGGGGGGAAGAAGGGGGCGTGGCCTCGACAATGGGCGTGGCCACCCGAGCGAGGGGGCGTGGCTACGTCCAGCGAGGGGCGTGCCTTATGCCGAGTGGGCGTGGCCTGAGGCGGAAGTGGGGGGGCGTGGCGGCGCGGGGCCGTCGCCGCGGAGGAGGGAGGGAGGGGGGGGGAAGGAGCCGCGGCGGCGGCGGCGCCGGGGGGAGGCGGGGGCGGCCCGGGGCGGGCCGGGTCGGGCCCGCT